ACTCCTTATACGCAAATGTAACCTCCGACCGAATCTTCATTTGCAATGAAGTTGAGCATATCACCTAGTAATATCAATAAGCAAGGATTTTAAGTTCACAGAAGTTCACATTTCAGAATCAACAGCTGTTTTAATCAATCACAACAATTTGTTTACGTAAATGAAATATTGGAAGCTGACTCATAGTGGAAGGTCTGTGGAAAGTTTGTGAAAATGCGTGGTTTAAGGCTGACTTCGCCGTCCTTCAAAGGAGCTTGCTACAAAGAAAACCGTTTACACATTTCTTCCTGATACCACATTGCCACCAGATTATGCGCGATCGATAGTAAATGAAGTAGTTCCAAGGACAGCACAGAACCTGAATCATCGTTTTTACAAATTTCGATTAACTTTTCTCTATAAATAATTGTATTATCTCGGGAAATCAAGTAGGAATATTTTGGTTCCTCTCAGCTTCAAAAATCGACCATTTAGGAAATCACTTTCCTTTGTTAATTTAGTGATTTGAAACTTTAATGTTTCAATTTAGTGGTAAAACAGAAATTTCAGGTTGTAGCAAATATGGCCGATCTACTGTGGATGATTATTCCTTACTTGAATTCAACGACACATGCACGAGTTCGTATGCGCCATCTATAAATCAGCGAATTGTTGAAAAAAAAACACTTAATATGTAAATCCTGAAATATTTATCTTAGATGTATGTAAGTTATAAATTCGCTTTATTTCTTCTGTCGGTTTCTACTTCATGGTGGTGTTTATTTAAACCAAGAATACAATATAAACTACCTAGACATCCATATGTAAACCATAACACCAAATATTTATACTGTATGTGTGTATATAAGTATACCTTATTACACCAAAATGATATAATTTGACTACTTAAATTGGAAATTTACTTGTGATACTGAATGCGAATGATGTTAAACAATAGATAAGTTAGGTAGTCAGGTTTTTCAATCTGAATGGCACGTTATGCGATACATAGGCTAGACGGCTAAGTCAGAAACCCTTAGATTTAGGCATAACTTAATATTACAACTATTACCCAGAGGAAGACAACCAGTCAACAGCATCCACTGCTTACAAAGTTACTGTTAATCGAACAGTAGGATTTACGGTCACAATGAAAGTATGGAACGCGTTGCAGCGCCATATCCCGGGCTCGAACCTCGGATTTTCCGATACGTAACATGTATCGTTAGTCATTAGGCCACGTCCGGCTATAAATAAATTAATCTAGATTTGTGTATTAATATACCATTTAGCTGAAGTTAGCATTTATTGAATTAATTCCTGTTATTTACGAGTTTATTCATATAAATAATAATAAGAGTTTGATATAGTTAATAAGTATCAGCAAAGAAAACATTATAGCATTACAAGGACATAAGTAGCTGTGCTGTCTCAAGATTTATTGGAGGTCAATATATATACTTATATTTTAGTAATTACATTTACAAATTGTTAAACTTTCTTAGATAATATATTGATAACCTACATACAAGCGCTCAAAAAGACTTGTTTATTTAGGTTTATGTCTGTTTTAATTAACTTCATATAGTATTTTACACAAAAAAGCCTTGAAATTGACTGCTTTACGAGACTGTGTATTAAAGCTATTATTACATGTTTTAGTTCTTTACAGTATTTCAATTCTACCTCTGTGTTTCTTGAACGATCACCAACTTCCAATTTATCTAAGTTAGTTGTAATAAAAAATATTAGTTTTGTTTGGTATGCGCTTCAATACTTATATAATAATGACTCAGTTATTGTTCTCTATTGTTTGGCTTGCACTTCAATACTTATATAATAATGACTAAGTTATTGTTCTCTATTGTTTGGCTTACACTTCAATACTTATATAATAATGACTCAGTTATTGTTCTCTATTGTTTGGCTTGCGCTTCAATACTTATATAATAATGACTAATTTATTGTTCTCTATTGTTTGGTTTACGCTTCAATACTTATATAATAATGACTAAGTTATTGTTCTCTATTGTTTGGTTTGCGCTTCAATACTTATATAATAATGACTAAGTTATTGTTCTCTATTGTTTGGCTTGCACTTCAATACTTATATAATAATGACTAAGTTATTGTTCTCCATTGTTTGGCTTGCACTTTAATACTTATATAATAATGACTCAGTTATTGTTCTCTATTGTTTGGTTTGCGCGTCAATACTTATATAATAATGACTAAGTTATTGTTCTCTATTTATTTTGAATTTCTGGGAAAATACTGCATAGTTACATAACAATATAATAAATTCTGTTGAGGACAAGCATATAATAGAAATAGTTTCAACTTCAAGGGAAAACTGGGAAAAGCACTAGATATGGGGTTTGTCAGACACACACAGAGCCAGATTATCTTTCGTCAAGAAGCACTGCAAATCTGATTGGTCAGACACACCCAGACAGGCTATGTCTCTTCACAAAGCACAACAGATCTGATTAGTCATACACACCCAGACAGGCTATGTCTCTTTACAAAGCACTACAGATCTGATTGGTCATACACACCCAGACAGGCTTGGTCTCTTTACAAAAAACTACAAATCAGTTTTGTAAGACATACCCAAACAGCTCATGTTTCTTCATGAAACACTAGATATCTAGTTATTCAGACATACCCAGACAGATCATAGCTCTTCATGAACTCTAAATACCTGGTCGGTCAGACACATCTAGGTAGGCTATATTACTTCGTGAAGCACTACAAATCTGAGCGGTTAGACAGCTTACATTTCTTCCCGAAGCACTATAAATTTAGTTATTTAAACACACCTAGAAATATTATGTTTCTTCATGAATTACTAGATATCTGGCTGTTTTCGTACACCCAGAAAGATCACGTTTTTTTTTCATGAAGCATTAGATATTTGATTGTTTAGGCACACCCACAAACATTATGTTTTTTCATGAATTACTAGATATCTGGTTGTTTACGTACACCCAGAAAGATCACGTTTCTTCGTGAAGCACTAGATATCTGATTGGTCAGACTCACCCATATAGTTTACTTCTCCTCATTAAGGACTACAAGTATGGTTGTTCTGGCATGCACACAGACAGGTTAATCTCTTCATGAACTGTTGATCAGACATGTCCAGACAAGTTATGATTCTTCATGAAGCGCTAAAGATCTGATTGGTTAGATGCACCCAGAGAGAATGTATTTATTCAAAAAAAAAGCATGTGCATTCTAACAATAAGCTGATTTCAAATTTTTTTTGTGTAAAGTACTGATACATGAGTTACACTCAAAACAGTCTAAATTTAAATTATTTGTCAGAATAAGTGGTTTTATATCTGATAAAGCTATTAAACTCTATATAGTAATAAATATCATATTCTGTACAAATATGCTTAATTATAAATGTATACATTTTATAGAGTTACTCTTTTTTAAAAAAGTAGTGTTGATAAAATATTATATCTATAATAAAATTGTCTTTATGAAAGTGATTTGGCTAACAGTTGTTTTTTTATTTACATATACCTTCTTGCACGATTTTTCATTCTGTTTATAAATTCACACCTTAACATACTTAGCAGGAATGTGAACTATTGCTTGGTATAAATGAAAACTTCAACATACATAGCAAGAACGTGAAACTATTATTTGATATAAATTTACACCTTTAAAATGCAAGTTTCTACCTCGGAGTGTGTTAATTGGAGTTACACTTTTTTCTTAGGGTTTACAGGCAGATTGTGTCTCTTCTAAGATACAGCAGATAAATGATTGTTCAAACACGTGATGTATGGTCTGATGTATATAACAAAACATAGTCCTCTTAATTATACCCAAGTCAGTTTTCTTATAGAATATACCACGTATAATCAATAATTAATACCCTAATGCATACAAACCACTAGAGTTCTTAGACCAAAACATTTACTGTGGTAAAACTCAAAGGATTAGAAATAAAATGTTTGCAATACTGGTATTTTGTGACGACACAAACTTATATTGTTTAGAGCTCTCGTATTCAGCGATGACACACACTTATAGTGTTTATAGTACAAGTATTTAGCAATGGTACAAATCTATATTGTTTATAGCACTCGTATTTAGTAATGGTACAAATGTATAATGTTTACAAAACACGTATTAAATAATGGTAAGAGCGTATATTGTTTACAGTTTACATATATAGCAATGGTACAAATTTATATTGTTTACAGCACTCGCATTTAGCAATGGTGAAAGTGTAGAATGTTTACAATACACGTATTTAGCAACGTACAAGCTTATGTTGTTTACAGCACTCGTATTTAGCAATGGTACATGCCTATATTGTTCACATCATTTGCAATTAGCAACTGTAAAAACTTATGTTTTTACAGCACTCACAACAGAGACGGTACAAATTTATATTCGCCAGAGTGGGAAGACGTATTATATACAAATAAAACAATAATACCGAAGAGCACTCTAATAAACTTTAATAAAACCTCAGAAATACTTTAATCGTTTTTTCAAATATTGTTGTTTTTAAATGCAGTTTTCTAACGATTTTTCCTCCCTTCATAATTAAAATGTGAAGTGTTCTAATTAACCAGTAATTCACTAAAAGTAGTGTTAAGTTTAATTAGGGTTTGTCTTACTATAATTGTATAGTGTGCACAGATCGGTTGTCACGGCACACCTTCTATATCTCTGTCAGCATAGAGTATTACCAATGTGACAAAGCGAACGTCTGGCAGTTAATTTTTGTAATAAAATAAATTTGTTTATAATGTAATACGCGATTGTTAAACATGGTATTAGTTTAATTCTTTCCTTATCATAGGTTCTCAAGCTCTATCATCTACACTTCTTTCTGGCGGTAAAATAATTGTTGTTGTTAAAACTTTCCGATTTCTTACCCTTATGTGATTCAGTCAGTACTAACTTTGTTTATTGAATATGTTCACAGAGTCGAAGTTCCATTACGTCACATTTACTTACTCTCAACATGCGATTGTTTTGTTTTTCAGTTTCTTGGGAAATAATATCCAATAAGATACCGAATACACCCGCAACCAATAGCGTGAAAGTAAAAAGAACCCCCTGGCTTCCAGTGATGCTACTTTTGGCTGGAATCTGAAACAACGACCTCTCTGGCGGTAGTCTGTGCTGAAACCTGCCGTTATTGACATAATCAATGAGCATATAAAGAGGTTGCACCATTTTCCAGCTCCGAACTAAGATGCTCGCTGCAAATAGAAGTTGTCAATAACTCTTAACCAATCTACTCGCCATCTGACAAATTCAGTATCAAGTCTTGGAATAAGCACAGTTAAAAAGCCACGTGTGTATGTATTGTGTGGGTGTGTTTTCATCAGCTTTGCTGGGCTGGCTAAGTGATAGACGGTTTTAATTAAATAAACGTCATGTTACCAAGGTAAGCTGTAAAAAATCAACAAAAAAGAAATGACATGTCCAGTCAGCATCATTGTCCTCTGTATATGAACGTATGGTGTTTTCCTTGATCAAAAAAATCCCACATCAGTATACAAACTGAATTATATGCACGATTCTGAAAGGTTGGCTCTTGAAAGAAGTGATCTTTTATTTGAATGACAGGATTACAAGGAACCATGGTTAATAACTTGTCGATATAACACTCCTTAGCTGTAGACAGCCAACTCTCCGAGGGGAAAAAAGCATTACAAAAACCTTCGTCAGCGCTTCTCCAAGAAAAACTCATCTGGTTCCGGAGTAAGTAGCAACTCTCGTCTCCTATCATAAGATAACAAACTAAGATAGGTTAGATCCATCCTCGTGCATATGTTTGATAGAGGATAAAATCTATACTATAAAGAAATAATGATAATGTTTATTCCATATTTTTTTGTGTCAAGCAGTTCGAGAGTATGTCGGTATTGTTTTGATTATGCACTAGTCGCTTTAAGTCTCCAGTGAGAGGTATGTTAACATTGTTTTTTATTTACTAGTCTCTAAAGTTTCCAGTGAGAAGTATGTCGATATTTTTTGTTTATTTACTAGTCTCTTAAAGTCTCCATTGAAAAGCATTTTGATATTGTCTTTTATAGATTCCAGTCAGAAGTATGTAGGTATTGTTTTGATTATTTATCAGTCTCTTAATGTCTCCAGTGAGAAGTTTGTTACTTTGCTTTTTATTTAATATTCTTTAAAGTCTCCAGAGAGGAGTATGTCAACATTATTTTTATTCACTAGTTTCCAAAGATTTCAGAGAAGAGTATGTCGTCATTATTTTTTATTTACTAGTCTCTTAAAGTCTCCAATGCGAAGCATTTCGGTATTATCTTTTATTCACTAGTCTCTTATATTCTCCAGTCAGAAGTATCTAGGTATTATTTTTGTATATTTACTAGTCTCTTAAATTTTCCAGTGAGAAGTATGTTGACATTGTATTTTATTTACTATTCTCTAAAGTCTCCAGTGAGAACTATGCCGTAATTGAATTTTACTTACTAGTCTTTAAAGTATCAAATGAGAAGTATGTCAACATTGTTCTTTATTTACTAGTCTTTAAAGTTTTCAGTGAGAAGTATGTTGACATTGTTCTTTATTCACTAGTCTCTAAAGTCTCCACTGAGAAGTATGACGACATTGTATTTTATTAACTAGTCTCTAAAGACTCCACTGAAAAGTATGTCGACATTGTATTTTATGAACTAGTCTCTAAAGACTCCACTGAGAAGTATGTCGACATTGTATTTTATTAACTAGTCTCTAAAGACTCCACTGAGAAGTATGTCGACATTGTATTTTATTTACTAGCCTCTAAAGTCTTCAGTGAAAAGTATGTCCACATTGTTCTTTATTTTTCTAGTCTCTAAAGTCTTCATTGAGAAGTATGTCGACATTTTTCTTTATTCACTAGTCTCTAAAGTCTCCAGTGAGAAGTATGTCGACATTGTTCTTTATTTACTAGTCTCTAAAGTTTTCAGTGAGAAGTATGTTGACATTGTTCTTTATTCACTTGTCTCTAAACTTTTCAGTAAGAAGTATGTTGACATTGTTCTTTATTCACCAGTCTCTAAACTTTTCAGTGAGAAGTTTGTTGACATTGTTCGTTATTCAGTGAGAAGTATATCAGTACTGTTTCATATTTATTCACCAGTCTCTTAGAGGATCCATTATGCAAACATACCAAGTGTTTCCTAGCCTCTTAGGTCAAATGTAGAAACAAAAATTTCCATATTTCTCTACACAATCACTATTTAATCTAAATATAGAAAATCAGTCAAATAATCCACTAAGATCTTCTCGCCTTGTTACTTACAGAATAGAACTCGGTTTTTTCCACTAGAGTTTCACATTATCTTTCTCGTGGGAAAGATTGGTGTAACATAGAGCATGCTACATAGAACTAGAGAAGAGTGACATTATTGTTATTATTATATAATGCCATGTTTTCTTACTCTAAGCTAGAATTATTTCGGAGATTGATATGTATTCAGATATAAACACACATGCAGATATCTTTCTAGTAAAGGCACCACATGATACTCTCGTCTTTTTAAGTTTGATTGTGGATTTGTTGAAATAAAAATTGTTTCGCTGCCTTTAACTTGTGTCCAGTCTCTTTTTTTGAGCCAAACTCAGGGGAGGTTAGGAGAATTCGAATGTTTTCCCCACAATACATTTTCTGATTAGTCTTCCGTGATCCTATGGTTCCTACTCAATTACTCAACGAGAAATTAGTGAACCTGGGAATACCACACAGTAAGAAGTATGTCAGTACTTTTTTGTTCACTTAGTTTCTTAGAATCTCCCATGGAAAGTATTTTATTTTATTTATATACCTGTTTCTTAATTTACTGTGAGAAGTATTGCTTTTGGCGATATTTTCATGTTAATTGAGTTTCGAAAAAGGTAACTTAGGTGCTATATAATAGGAAGTTAGACAAGGTTAATTGTGAAGTAATATTGAATTCTGTTAAAACTAACTGAGTCTGTGCTAAGAAATAACTGGACATAATACGATATACAATTAAAATTATCTTTACTCAAACACAAACACGCCTTTACTGGAGTTGAGAATAGATCAGGCTGGATCTACTCTATTCAGACTGACTAAATTTCATGTTACTTAGTTGAATTTGTAATGATAGATTTGTCCAGAACAACTAGCACTGATTTTGTGACTGTTCATTCCCATTCAAACATGTAACCTTGAGACGGTACCTGACACCACTGAAGGACACTACTGTCGATATTTATGTACAATTATCAGCTTTACAGCTATACCTTCATGAACAAACAATATGTATATCCCCAATTAAGTGATAAAGACAGCTAGGACAAAATCAGCTTAATGACTTTCTTAATCAGGTGTTACACTAAAACTGTACATAAAGTAAAATGTAGAAAATGCATGGTATGTCTGCATACCCCATCCCATCCCCACCTCTCTCTCTCTCTCTCTCTTTTAAGCTTGTCCTGAAGTTGTAATTAATTTTAACTTTAAACTTTAAAACCAATCGAATTTACTAATGCACAAATGCCAACGACTACCATAACCTTTTCTCACTCTTGGAAACACATCTAACACAGACAATCCAATCGTTTAACAAAGAAATACAATACACAATTAAAACCCTTGCACATTGATACGTAAGTATTTTATACAATATGAATTACCAAAAACACAAAACTGAACCATATAACAGTGATTCAATACAAAAGTCCCTTTAATAAGGAATAAATTCATAATAATTTATAACAATTTAACATAAAAATTGTCTTTATTAACATAAATAACCAAATACCCCTTTGACGATACAGAACAATTCATTGTTACTATACAATGCAGAATAAAACATCTTAACGGGAATAATTATAATACAAAATTATAATACCTCAAAATAACTCACATACACCCAAGAATACATTTATAAAAATGGAATGTACATTAAAATCAAAATTCAAAATAAACCCTTGACAAAACAAAAAATTATTTTACAAAACAAGGCCTTAAAAATTACTACATGCTAAAAACTAAAATACAACTGAACAAAAATGAATCCTTTAGACATAGAAATACAATGACAATCAATACCATAGAAATAATATATATACAGTTAACATCTTTTAAAACAAACCCAAAGATTATCAATCGTATTAAAATACAAACTGATTGATTAGATGTACTCTGCCAAAATCACAAATGTACATGAAAATAAAACAAAGAAAAATAGCAAAGACTGAGAAATAAAGCAAAATGCAGAGTTAAATGCTTATTATACAATTCATACTAAAGTAAATTATCAAAGAAAGAATATACAAAATACATACATTCACACAAAGCCAGCATAAGACTTTGTTCTCCTCCTCTAAACCCTGCCAGCTGATCTTCATGTGTGGCAATGATCTATAATTGTCCCAGGATTTGGTTAGGACCCTTTTAATATCTGCCAGCTCAGCCCCCAAGTGACATACCTCTTCATCGAGCTGCAATGGAGCTGTAGCTCTCACCTACATCCAGTTCTTCTCCTGATTGTCGAGGTCCCAAGCCTCAGCCCATTTGGTAGCCATCTCCAGATAATGCTGCTTATACATAGTGATATGCTTTAGCACGAGCTAGTTTCTAATCACTTTGGGTGGTTAGTAAAGAACCTTCACCCTGGACAGTCTCTTGGGCTATTCTCAGGGTTGCTTCATTTGTGGTGTCTCTCACCTCATCTTCACTGACTGAATAGTGGTCAGTCGATGTTTATGTCCCCTCATTGATGGGGACCCATGTAGTCAGCGATACTTGTGGCATCAGGTTTGGTAGTTCAAACCTGGTAAACCCCAAGAGTATCCAAGCTTTGTGAAGGTTTTATTAGTTTGTGTATGTGTGTAAGTAATGTTCTCACTGGAGTTGCAAGCACATCTGGAAGTACCGTTGCTTGATGACATCACACCTTCCAATGAGATACTTCAAGAGCAGTTCACGGGAGTAAGCAATGGTGTTGATGTTTACTGTTGGGTTACCTTGAGGCTTGGCTTCTCCAAGTATATCTGTTTAGTGTAGGCCAGAACCTAGAAGGGCTGCCCATCATTAGCCTAATGACAAATGTAATGAGTTCTCCAATGTCCAATGCATCAGCAAACAACACATCTTCATCATGTGCTCTGCTATGATGAATGTCAAGCCATCTCTGAAAGTCTCAGGATCAACAACGTAGTCTAACCCATCGTTGTAAAGGAAATTCTGATTTCTTTGAAGTGATCCATTATAGAAAATAAAAGTATTTGTGGGAAGCTGACAAAGTAGAATAGAAACTCAATGCCTCATTTACAACTTTGACTTGCCCTAAAATCCTTTTAGAGAAGGAGTAATAAACCATACCTTGATCAAGTGATATTTCTTTGGATCTTGCATGTACTTATGCCTTGTAGCTCCATAGAAATTATATCCCTAACTTCTATTTACTTCCTGGTCCCCAACCTTCAATGAGTTTAGTTATCTCATGGATAGAGTCTGGTTCCAATAGGATAGAATGGGGTGAAGATTGCAAAGCTGATTCCTACACAAATGAGATGACTTGACTTAGTTTTGACCATCAAAATCCACTAATGTCACATTGTTTCTCCTGATGGACCTTCTTTCACTCTCAAGTTTTTTACTGGCTTGCACGAAGCTTTAACCATGAAGCTGTTACTTTCCACCTCTATTAGTGGTCTCAAGGCATGCATTTTATACATTATAACTGCACTTTGCATTTAAACAATTAAGAAAATAT